CCTCTTCCCTCTTCCCTCTTCCCTCTTCCCTCTTCCCTCTTCCCTCTTCCCTCTTCCCTCTTCCCTCTTCCCTCTTCCCTCTTCCCTCTTCTTCCCTCTTCCCTCTTCCCTCTTCCCTCTTCCCTCTTCCCTCTTCCCTCTTCCCTCTTCCCTCTTCCCTCTTCCCTCTTCCCTCTTCCCTCTTTCCTCTTCCCTCTCCCTCTCCCACTCCCAAGCCTCCCCCCGCCCACGTTACATTCGCAATACGCGCTGCTCCCCGTGCGCCATCTCTCCAACTGAAACTGCTGGAGAAAATGCTGTGACCTGCAAAAGCGCACTATTCGTTGGCTTCTTTGGCACTCCTCAGCACACAGAGGGCCCAACAAGCTCCTTACGCCCCCACTTTCGGACGTGAAATCCCCAGGGTCCACACTGCTCTGCTACCCAAGCACTCCAGGAGCCCCCACAGCCGAACCCCCCCAAGTGCCAAGAACTCCAACAGTGCAGCTCCAAACGCTGCACATTTGCCTGGGAATGTGTGCCCAGCAACGCAAACGCCTTCTGAGCAAGAAGAGCCCTGACCTGGCTCGGCCAGCGCTGAAGTTCCCTGCGCGCTTTTTTGGGCAAACGACTGCAGCGAGTTCTCGTGTTCAAGCTGCACCAAAGGGCAGAGTGCCAAGATGTGCCAGATCATTGATCGTAACGGCGTGCAAGAGGTCAGGTGTCTAGAACTGTACAGACTTCTATAGAACGGAACTCTTAACCTCTAAGATCGCTTTTGCCCGGATCCGGCGTCTGCGACAGGTAAAGCAGCAAGCAAGAAACTGCACAGGCCGCTGGTCGCCCTAATCCTTGGGGCAAACGATGCCGGTGGTGAGATAGTCACCGACTTCCCAGTCCCCCACCTCAACCTGATCCCAGGGATCCTTGCGGCCGTGGATGGGCATGGTGACCTTCTTCATCCAATCCTTGGCTGATATCTTAAGACATTGGGTTTCTCGCGGTGTCGCCCTGAGCCCATTCGAGCCCAGAGCAGCTCTGTCAGCAGGGACCCGACAAACAGAAAGCAGAGGAACCCCAGCATGAAGAAGCGGCCAACAGCCAAGAAGCGAGGTCTTGCAACGAGTTCCACATCTTCACCTGGCCGCGCCAGATGGTAGCCCCTCCGCGGCACTGCATAGCCTTGGCTTTCGCGTGTCCAAGTTCGGAAGCGGGACAAGCAAAGAATTCGTACATTCAGTGTACCGCCGTGCCATGACGTGCCATCCGCCGAGTCTCCAGAAAGGTTGTGCCACTCTCAAACTCGACCGCGATGTCCTGCCTGTCCACGACGAAGTACTTTCCTGCATCACTTCCTCGCCAGGCCTCGGGCGCAGAAGCGAGCAAAAAGCAGAAGCAGAAGCAGGAGGAGCAGGAAGGTGGGACCTACATGATTCGGACAGGTTCTGGCTGTTGACGTCTTCCGAAGCAACGCCAAGTGTCGTCGCTGATGGCCTTCACCTTCATGGTCGAAACGGCGTAGTCGACGGAGAGCCCGGCCACGTCCATCGTATTGCGCCATGGCCGAAGTTGAAAGTGGTGGATTTCCGGAATCGTCAGCTTCTGCTGCGCCACCACTTCGCCGTCCATGAGGATCAGCAGCACGCCGTACGACAGGGCCACCTCCCACTTGTGCCAATGGCCCGGCTTCCACGTCTCAGCCCCTCTACCAACTTCACCACCCTTCGCAACGCCCACGTTCCAATACTTTCCGCTGGCCATCGACCCTTGCCAGAACTGGCCGCGGGTGGCATCCAGGAGAAAGTGCGACTCCATTTCATTGCGGAAATAACGGTAGCCGTCGTAGTAGAAGCCGAAACTGGCAGCGGTGTGTGCGCGCTTCGGCATCCGCATGTAGAACTTGATCACGAAGTTGTCGCGCACCTTCGAAGCATCCGGCAAAAACGTGAGAGAACTGATTTATTGAGACTCTTATTAAGAGCCTCTCCCACGCTGCACCCTTACTGCACCTATACTGCACCTCCCTTGAGGCCCGGACGTTCAAGTCAATCTCCAGCCCTCTGTTCATGCAGGTGTGGTACGTGCCTTTGGCAACGCAATTCTGATGCAGATAGCCTGCGCTGCAGGTGGGTGGTCCGGATATGACCCCATGTGCTTGGCCGCTCTTCTCCGTCGCATGTTCATCCTGGCGGCATCTTCACGCAAGTCGACAACAGCAGGCTTCAAGGGTTTCTCAGGGTTTCTCAACATCCACTGGAGAACATGTGAACACTGCTGTCGGGTCCTGAATGCCACAGCCGCCATCTTCCCACCAACTGAAATGACGGCAACCGGAAACCTCTCAACAAAGCATAACAAAGCTATATGAGGCGCCCTCCGCTCCCGATGAAGAACACAACAGGAAGCGCCGTGTCTCATGAGGTGGTATGAGGTGGCTAACATGCCACGTGACTCTGAAGACCCCAAGGTTGAGTCGCGGACCTGAATGCACCTTTGCTGGCACTCTTGCCAGGTTCCGACGGTGCGCTTTTGGCCGTCCATATGAGTAGGTGTCCAAGACTTTTCCTCAAGATGAAGGTCACGCCACGCTGCGGCTGTAGCGGGCTACCGTCAGACCGTTGACTGCACATGAATTTCGAGCCCGGGTCCTTCGCCATGCACGCAGCCTGCAGCAGAGACTCTGTTGCGTTTGTCGTTGCAAGGTTTCCTAGGCACTTTAGCGCAGATTTGCAGGGAAACTTCTCATTTTGTGGTTTAGCTCCCGGGCTCAAACTTCCGAAGGCTTGCACTTTCGCCTTGCACGTGCTAGCGGCCACGGCGGTGTTGCAAAAGCGATCAAAAGCGCCCATCGCAGCAGATGCTGTCCCGCCACCGGGGAAAAAAAGAAGCTCCGTCTCATTCAATCACATGGATGATCCAATCCGTGCACCCCAGCGTCAATATCCAAAGGGCTGAGATGCAGACACGGCGGGTGAACTGCTCCAAGTGGCACTTGGGTCCCAGGAAAAATTTGTCACAATTCTCTGCCAACCCCCCACCATCCCACCCGCCCACATGTTAAAGACAACTCCAGCGACGGGCAGCGCCAAGCCTACCAACGTCTACCACCCATCCAGCAAATCATCAAAAACCGAATCCGAGTAGCAAAGTCGCAAAAGTTCAAGCGCACTGGGCTACAGGGAGCCGGACCAAAATTGGACGCGCCTCGAGAGGCAGCTGCTGCTCTGAGGAGTCGGGCTTCCCAACTTCGAAGTAGAAGGATCGGAAGTTCGCGTTCTCAAAGACTACCTGATCAGGGTCTTTCCCTGAATTCTCAGTTCTCAGCTCCGGCTTCTAAACAATCGGTTCTTCGTAGGGCTCCTCAAAACGGATTTGCTGAATCTCAATCTCCCACCTCCTGGTTGCCGGATTGGGCGTCGAAGACCAGCGACACTGGAAATTCATCCTCGTCTTCCACGTTCTCCAGCACCACGGTGGCTTGCACAACCTTCCCGTTGACCTTGGCGGAGGTCGTTGCTGGCATCTCCTTCGTCTTCCGCGTGAGGAAGGAGATGCGGCCCTTGCCACTGATCGGACCTGGCGCAAACGAAAGTCCAGAGACTGCTTAAGATGCCAATTCCCCTTATGTGCTCCAAAGTGACTGTAGAAGCTTCGCGTCAAAGGCTCCTGCTTTCTTCTGGGGGGGGCTTGCATGACGGTTGAACCAAGATTGTTCGGCGGCCATTCGAACGTTGAGCATTCTAGAAGCAGGAGCAAGGCATGCTCGGTCCGTGGTGCTGCCACTCCGAGCGCTGACATGGTAGAGGTCCTGCCCCAAGAGCGGTTTCTGACCCGGCTCCGACTTGCTTTTCACCTGAAAACCCGAGCAGAGCTGGCATCTGCCGCGCGGTCCTCTGGGAAGTAGACATGGTCACCCACGCTCCACTCTTGGCTGGGCACATTGTCAAGCCAGAGCCTCGGCAACATCTGCGGGGCTTGGACTGGCGCTTAGGAGGCTCTCAGGAAGCTCTGAGTGCCTGGCGTGTTATAGTCATGTTTGCCAATCTCCTTCCAGGCGCCGCATTCGCCGCCGGCCTCCATCTCCACAACGCCTTGCCGTCCTGGCTTGGACCAAAACAATTCACTCGCGTTGAGATGCACAGTCGACCTTCTACTGACCCAGATCATGGGCGTCCCTTCGGATTACACACACACACACACAGAGCTAGGTGCTGCTTCCAGCAGGTTGCCGAGGCGCCGGTGGAGGTGACGACCTCAAAGAGCTTCCCGGCATAATCCTCCCCACCCCATCCCACGCCCTCGCTGAAGAACTTCTTCGCGTCCTCGCTCTCGAAACAAAAGGAGCCTGCCAGCTTCGAAGGTCGAATCAGCAGCAGCCAAGCACCGAATGGGCAGCTGCAAATGGGTGGAGTTTTTGTTTCCTTCAATTTCTTTTTGTTTTGCTTCCTCTTTTAAGGGTTTCTTGAGCTTCCGCGGAAAACCACCATTCTCTCTGTGTTTTCGGACGGTTCGTAGGATTTCGTATGATCTTGTTCGAGTTCTTCGTGTTCTCTTGGTTCATTTTCTTGGTTTTTCCTCGGAGAGAAAAAAACAAAGCACCCTTCCCTCTGTACTTTCATACGATTCATACTACTCTGCGTAGGATTTCGTATTGATTTCGTTCAAAATTCTTCGTGTTTTCTCGCTGTCTTGGTGTTTTTCCCAGGACAAGCACCCTGCCCTCTGTATTCATCGGAAACAAATACTACTTTTCGTAGGATATCGCACCCCTCCGCACTGGGGACCAAGAAAAGCAGACAGCCATCCTGGCCTGATTGTGTGCCCGTCACCTTGAGGGACTTCTTTGCAACGACCGACTTGTGGCTCCTTGGCAAGTCTTGGTAAGGTACGGTCTGGAATGGTAGCGAACCATGATGGCACATATGACACTCACGATTGTGGCCGCGGGTCCAGCCATCCGTGGTGAAGGTGATGGTTTCATCTGCCAAGACCTGACTTCTCAAAGGCGCCAGCTGCAACTGCAACATGCTACAATAAGTGTGCGTTGTTGCACGTGCGTTGTAACGAGCATCTGCCTACACAGCACTGCACTACCAAGTGCGCGGCCACCTTCCCAGAGAGGAGGCTGTCGCCACGCCGAAATTGCTTCATGACCTAAACGAGGCTCAGAGACTGTCTGACACCTGTCACGGATTGGGGCACAATCAAAGCCGAGGCACTTGTTGGGTGAGCCGCTTGCGCACCACGCGGACTGATTGGAACGAGTTCGCCATATCCAGCTTGATTCCGTCAATTGACCGCGTCCATGCAGTGTCACGAACGGATTTCAAAGCGCTCTCGACGGGAAATTTGGCGATCTCGTACCCGATCTCCACGTTATCTTTGCAGGTTGCAGTAGTTTCGTCGGCGGAAAGTTCACACACCAACTTGGAGAGCCTGTCGGCAAGGTATTGGTACTTGCTGGCCACGAAGACCGACTTGTAGCTCGCCAGGATCCTACCGTGCTTCTCCAACAGCAGCCGCTTGGCATCCGCGTTGCTGTCATAGAACTTGCTCAACCGCTTGCAGTTGGGCTTTGGTCTGCACGGGGCGACGGCGCAACACTGCTCGGCTTCCGCTTGGGTGGCCTCCCCCTTCGCATTCCTTGCAATGCGCCACGTAGAGAGCTGACTAATCCCAGCAGTCAAAGCCCAACAACTAACAAGAAAAAAAGGACTCATAAGTTGGCTTCTGATGCAGCCAGCGTAGCTTCTCGCACAGAGCGAACATGTCCATGATCACACTGGAGCTGTCCCTTACGACGTCCGCCGTGGCTTTCCAGCTTCTGGTGTCGGGAGCCGGGTTGGGGCAACCCACCGCATGGAACGTATCGATCAACACCTAGCAGGACAGAAACGTGAGACAGAACGCAACAGCCAGCACAAAGTATGGCTACGAGCACGACGACAGCGGCATGAGCTCTGCTGCTCCCACCTCCTCCGTGAGTGTAGGCTCGGGCATCATGCTGATCATATCGGCGAGGCTCGCAAAGTGCGTCGCCGCAAGCTCCTGAAAGAGACTTGGACCCATCCAGCCCGCGCTCTCTGTCGCAGCTCTCTGTTTCGACCTCTACTTCTGTCTGCAACGCGCGCAAGCTTCCTACAACGGGGCCAATTGGCGTTTCCCAATCTCCTGGAGAACCAGGCCTGCCCCAGCTTTCTGGCGCCGCATGCCTCATACACACAGGATCCACAACCACCTGTTGTCATGTGACTTCGTCTTCGTTTGACTTGCGCCTTTTCCGCTTGACTTGCCCACAAAGCCTATTAATACTATTGAAGACCCTCAAATCCGGAACCGGACTGATCTGGCATGATATCACGGGAGACTCCTCCGGAGTAGCCTTCAAGTGCTGCAAGTGCAAGTATGTGCAAGGGTCTGCGGTGTCTCGTGAGTGTCTCGTAAGTGTCTCGTGAGTGTCTCGTGTTTGGGCCTCAAGGTTTCGGCATCCGTGGGCCGTGGGAAATCTTCGATTCGGAAGGTCAGGAAAAATCCGATCCAACTGCGAATGGCAGCAATGGAACTATTTTTTGCTAAGGAAGAAAACAATCCGCAAAACAGCTCTGAGGGGCGAGAAAACACAGGAAAAACACAGGAAAAACCTTCTGCCTGCGCTCGCAACAAGGAGGGAAGCATGGAGCATCGAAGAAAAGGTTCAGTGTGGTGAAATGGAGAAGTTTACGCGTTATGAAAGTTTATGTAGTGTATGGGATCTTAGCAACCCTGCACGTGGCACCTCGTCCCACAGAGAACCCTACACACCCGTAACCTTCCTCTTCCTTTCTGCCCGAGGTGCACGCATCGCTCCTCTTCGTGCAATGGCCAAGATTGTTCGACTCCTGGCACAGGAAGGCCCCCAGCAATTGAGCAGTTGCATGGGAACAGGTCTCCCCTGACTGCAGTTGTGCCAAGTTGTGCCCGTACCCCCAAGTGCCTTGCACTCGGGTGGACCAGAAAAAATCCTCGGGCCCGTGGGCACGGCCTTCGCATTTTCATCCTGGGGCGCTTCGGCAGGGCAATGTCACACGAGTTCCGATGAGTTCGGCACATGCTGCCAGCAGGTCCTGAAGGTGACAGCCTCCAGCCCCAGACGCCCACCACGAGAAATGGCGGCAACCCGCCACCTTCAACAGGGGCCCCACAACACATGGCCTCACATGTGACCTCACATGGCCTCACAAGCATCCGCCCCCCCATTTTGAGCTGCGGCACGCTTTTGCACCTGGCTTGGCACTCGTGCCAGCCCGATGTGGTGCGAGCTTGGCCAGGCATGTTGGTAGGGTCCCACCTGATGCCCTCGCAAAGGGATGGGCTTGTGCATTCTCTGCTTCGCGTCAAGCCTTTGCCCGCCCATGAATACTCCCGTCCTCTGCGATACATGCCATATCCCTCACCTGGCAGTCCACATCTTCTCACAAAGGTCGCATGGGCTTGGGGCAAACCCTTGGCACCTTGCCCGTCAACCAGTCTGTCTGGCCAGTGGCATTCCAGCCTGAGCCAGGCGCACGAGATGCCAAGCCCAACATCGGCATATCCAGCGAACAAGGCAAGCACAACACAGAGACGCGATTTGGTGGCAACCCATCAGGCGACTGGATGACCGGAAAGAAGCGGATTTCGGCGGTTGGAGCATAACGTTTTGGTCAGAAGGACCAACATGAACGACCTTTTTAAATCCTTCCGCAATGTCACTGCCGAGCCACAGGGGATACGGCCGTCCTCGCAATCGCCGAAAAGCATGTCCTGCACCAAAGTTGGAAAAGACCCTCTGCCCAACACTCCCCCACCAACAAACACACAAAACATTCCACTGAAGCAACTCACCCTATAAAGTCCCCGTATAAACACCCCCCTTATCATAAACAGGCCCCTTAATCAAGCACTCTTCCTTACAAAAACACACTCCCTTTCACCAAAACACACACACACACCTTTCCCCACACAAAAAGAAATACACCCAGTCACTCAGAGCTCTCTTCTCCCCTTGTGCCTTCAGCTCGCTGGCCGCGCTCTCCAGCGCCAGGGCGTGCTGAAAGCGAGCGGTGTCTCCCGGCACGATCCCCGAGGCCAGGGCCAGCTTGCTCCTCTCATTTACAAATTTACAACAAGATGTGTTTTAAAGAATACGGTTTAGGGCCTTCTCTAGGCTCTCTCTTAAAACCTATGCATGCGAAATGAGATGCTCTCAATTTCTTGAAACGTCTATGGGAGGGCCGTAGAATGAGCCGTAGACCACAAATCCTGCATCTTGCACCCCCCTAACGGCCCTAACGGCGTCTCTCTTTTTCAATTCCACCAAGGTTCGAGTATCCCGTGAGCGCCGAGCGAAGATCATCAGGGAAAAGGTCGCGGAAGGACTTCTTGCCCGCCGCGCGCGTCGCCTGTGAAGACACCGCGTGTAGTTTGGACAAATCGACTCTCAAAGCATGAGAAGCCGAGCTTGGCATCTATGAAACGGTACCGAACGCTACTCTAGTTGAGTTGCATTTCAACGTGAGTTGCTCTGCGTGCATGCTGGCGTGCAAAGCGCCCCATCGTTTGCGGGACCTTTTCACACAAGAGCGCGACGTTCTGGCACACGACTGCCTTCACCCGGTCCAAAAGCTCAAGGTAAACCACGAAGGGTAGGGACTGCAACTTCTACTAACCACGAAGGCCCTGCGCATTACCCGCATGTATTTACAGCCCCGCGACCGGGAGTTGACTGCGGGCATGCAAGCTCCCCGCATTTGGCTTCACATAACGGCACTAGAAAAAACAAGGGCAGTTGAACAAAGCCGAGAGCAAGTTTCAGGTTCAACCATGACCCCTCCCCCGCCCAACTGAAAAAGGTAAAAAATTTGTAACGTGGTTCGCGAGGCCTGGCACATCTGCCTTCGCTGGTTTCATGGGGAAGTGCTTGTAAGGGCTTCGCAAGAAGCCAAGCAATCACAAGCACAGGGAAGCAGCTGAACAGCGTTTGGTGGCACCCAACCCAAAAAAAGACATGCAAAAGGACTGCTCCAAAAAAGGCCCTTGCAAGCGGGAATTGCTCCCATCCCCTCTGCAAAGCTCAGTTGTTTCTCAAGCTCTGTGTGGCTTGTTGCTTCAGGCTGCAGCTTCGAAACTTTTTATTGAGGTTCCTCCTCCGAAACTGTCTTGAGCGGCCTCAAGCAACAGCTCCGGCTGCCCACAAGCGGCAAGAGTTTTGAATCCCCACGTGCACCCCACGTGCACAGATGGCCGACATTGCGCTCGGAGGCAGTGAATCCTGATTGGCCGCGCTATAAAAAGAAAGCATGGGCAACCTTAAGAACCTCGAACAGCATGCGCATTGACGGCTGCAACTTTGCTTGCAAACTGTGACCCCCCCCCTGTGCTTTGAATACCTAGAATGGAGTACTGTAGCTTAAGAACCGTGAACTCCAAACCGTAGGCACGCCATCTGGAACGGTGCGCCACGCGAGTCTTCTCGCGGGAGGGAAGTGCGAGTTGGGGTCATGCAACGGCATGTCGCCAACCCTGGAGGACTTGTGTCTTGCTGAGCATGATGCACATCCACCGACAACGCGCGAACCCGACACGAAACTTCTGACAGATGACGGAAAAGCACGGCATAAAACCAAAAGCAGAAAAAGAACAACACACTTCCCTGCGAACCTGAAGCCGACTTGGCATTGTCCATGTGCTTCTGAGTTTTCTGAACTCTCTTAAGTTGGCCCTCTGTCTCTGCCTCAATCCGCCCAGCCCTCTCTATGATAGGTGAGCTGCCTCGCATCTGATCCAGCCCTGGCCTGCCTCAGTTCCTGCGCTGCATTGAAAAAGGGCCCCAGACAGGCCCCAGCACGCGTCGAAACCCCAAAAAAACCAGCAGGGACCCAAAAACCCCTTCTCAAGGCAAAAACCGGAGATGAGAAGCAGAAGGCTCCCAATCCTCTCCAGCTTCGAAGTTAGGCATGCCAAGTTTCCCAGCTGTCACCCACGAAGCCCATCTCACGTACGCAAAGGACACGAGGAGCCAGCATCGTGATTTTCGTGATTTCGCGCGCAAAAGCGTTCTCATGCTGCACTGGCTTTAGAAAAAAGCCAGGGTCGACCATCACCAGCTTTCAAGACTCAGCGAGCTCAGCTAAAGTCACCGGCGCTAGAATCACAAGACAAAAGCAGCCTGTTCAATGATCCTGAAGAAAATATTCGTGTCTGAAAGAGAAGAAAACTACGCATAGGACGCCCGGCTTTTCTTCACCTCTTGGACGCCTGGGGGTGGGGGCCCCCGCTGTGCTCTGAGAAAACCGGCGGAGCGAGATGCGTTCTTCCCCGGAAGCCTTCGACACCCCAAAAGAGGGCCCCGTCCCTTTTTTTGTGCATTTCTGTACGTCTCAAGACGTGAGCACACGTGAGAAGCATTAGAGGCAACATCATATGAGCAGGCATTTTTGGTGGGCTAAAAGCCCTACAACACAGTTTGACTTGGCCGAGGCTTTCGACTAGTTAAACCAACAGCGACGCGCCGCGAGGCCTCAAGATAGAGCTTGGCAGCTGCGTCCGTCGCCTGGAAACGGTAGCTGATGTCCTCCAAGGCACTTCGTCGGGGGAGCGAAGCTAAGATGCAGTAGAAATGCAGTAGGCCTATTGCCAAGCTCTGCGCTCCTTTCCAGCCGAAAGGTACGCATCGAGCAAGTTCGCTGCAATGCCAGCCACCGGTTTCATGAACGGGCTTCCAGTCCTCGAGAAGCCTCTGAAAGCTGAGCTTGCCGTCTCATGAGAGTCTCATAGCTTTGAGACAGACTGCTGTTCCACAAAAGCGCAAGACTCAAGTGTTCTCGCAACAAAAGCCAGCCATATGATGCCCCGTGTGCTGTGTTGGACTCAAGGCATGCCAAATAGGCCTCCAAGGGAGTTTGAAGCGTAGGACGCAGCAGCAAGGCCTGGAGAGGACTCATGTTTCCAACAAAGCCGTCTCATGCACAGCTCACAGCTTCAAATTCTTCATAAGAGGGTGTTCAAGAAGGTTTTTAAACCTCATTTGTGGACTTTGTGGAATTCTTGTGTGGGCGAGGGGCCTGTCTGCTCCCAGCCAACGGTGAAGCCCCTCGACAGTATGTTCATGCTGCATCCCAGCATGCCGCTCACTCCATCCAGCGGTGATTCCGCGGATGCCTGGGGCATCGCGCTTGGACGTAAAAGGACGTTGACTCTTTACGACTCTTGCGTTACCATATGCCTGTGCTGCAACAGCTCAGCCAAAGGAGTCCAGAATCAGCTGGGCAGCGCCCAGAGCGAGGATCTCATTGATGGCCATTTTTGTGCCCTCCGAGGTGTTGTGCATTAGCACTTCCCGTCGGATGAGATCAGCAAGTTCATCGGGCGGCAAGTCGGCCACATCGGCGTCGTCGGAGTCGTTCTGGGCTCCCAAAAGGCAATGGCATTTAGCAGCATGTGGCGTTTTCTTAGCCTTAAGGGTGCATCTCGTATGTGTTGCAGGCAGGTGTTCTAGTTAACGTAGATTTGGGGTCTGCAGGTTTACCAACGAAGAACGTCTCCTGAAACATTCACAAGCATTGGGAGCTCTAGCTACCTTTACCTGCATGTTCCCTTGTAAAGGACATGGCAGGACCTCCCCGTCGTACGTGCTTGGCATCTCCGCATTGACATCCTGTGGGACTGCCTGTGACAGTTGCTCTTGCAGAGTGCAACTTCTGACAGGTAGTGGGGTGCACTGCCGAGATGAAATCACAAGAGCTGACTGCAGGAACCAACTAGTCGGCTGAGTTTGCTCAAGATGGGTCTTCACCTTCCCAAACTTCCCAAACTTCCAACGCACGATTCTTTGCAAGACGGAGGCAGGAATTGATAGCACGAAGAGGTTCTTGGGCAGAGGCAGTGCAAGGCTTGGCGTCGAAGACGTGAGATTCCGGGGGGAAAGCGAGAGAGCAGAGAGAGAAGAGATTGCAGAGAAAGAGAATGCCAGGAGAGGCGCCTGTTTCATTGCGGAGGCCAAGGCAGCCCAGGCGGCCCAGGCCCTGGAAGCAGTAGGCCGTGGACCGTCGCTGTCACTACAGCTCGACACATCTCTCCGCATCACACCTACACCTACATCTCGGCCTTTTCAACCTTTGCAACCTTTGAGTGAACAGTTTTGAACAATGAAAAACCACTTCTCGAAGCACTTGGCAACTGCGGGCCCTGCATCCAAGCCATTATGGCTCCGTTCGTGGATTGCTTCCTCGGCTGCGTTCAGAGACTAGTCAAATGCTTTCAATGCACAAGCATGGCAAGCTGCACACGCTTTAGGGTGAATTGGAGAGGCAATGCTAAAGTGAGCATATTATGCCACTTGAGCGAGCTCGAACTGCTTGCGAAAGCACTCGTCCAGATCTCCATCACGTTAGCAATTCAACAAGCATTGACATCATAAGCCCCTCCGGAATCAACAAAACACGCGGCAGGGGAATCCGTTTCCTGACGAAAGCACTGGTCTGAGCCCAACTTTGATTCCCAACAGGGTGGGTATTGAAATGTGTACAGAACTGAAGGCTCCCAGTCGAACTATGGCGGCCCTGCAGCTCACAAGGCTTTCTAAGCAGTTTCACAATTCGTGTTCAAAAAGACACTCAGCTGTCGACCCCCACGTGTGAAGTACGTCTCCGGCGTAGTTTGACCCACTCCAGATGCATACAATGCAACACTAAGCGTTGCAGGTTCACTGTGCTTAAGGCCAAGCTACCGACAGGGGGCTCAGAAAAGGCAAACCCGAGTCCCCAAAGTCCAAACCATACGCCGAGCTTCATTAAATGAAATTAGCTGCAGCGACAAAAAGGTACGCAGCTGGTTGCTTGAGCCATAAAGCCACAAGAAGTTCAGCTATGACCTTTCAACTATTGATGAATCAAGACCTGACGTCTCAAAGTGCATGTCGGCCCAACCCCAACGTTTGGGAACTACGACTGCCGCTACGCTCCACATGATTGTCGACATCGCCACATCAGCAAGCAGGTCCACTGCAATCGCATCCCAAGATTCAGAATGCTTCACACCTCAATGGGCAGCACAGTCCAAGCCGCTGGATATCGTGCCCTGCGAAACGCATCAAGCGATTCCCGCAACTCAATGGTTCTTGACGTTGTTCATCGGACGCCAGCCAAAGGTGCCACAGCCCTTTAACATCGTATGACCCTGCGGTATCTTCCAAGATTACTAAAGTCACAGCTTCAAAGCTCATCAAATCAGGACGACTCCTGTGAAAATCGATCCCACTGTACATCCTTCGTCAATCCGTTCCCCATGCAAGCAAGGTCAAGAAAACAAACTATGGTGTTGTACGAAGACCTTGCTCAGACTTAGAACGTAGGCGCCAAAGCTTTTGCGATTGCACCGCCTAAGCAGACACTGCGATGTTATGAGCGAGAGCGAGAGCCAGAGCGAGAGCGGGAGCGGGAGCGGGAGCGGGAGCGGGAGCGGGAGCGGGAGCGGGAGCGAGAGCGAGAGCGAGAGCGAGGGAGAGAGGAAAACAGAGAGAGGTAGACGGAAAAAAACGAACGTCCCAGAGTGAACGGGCATGTTGCTGGACGCACGAACGTCCCATCTTTGGATGGTTGCTAAGAGTGCAGGAGCGCATGAATCTTGTGATCAACGAACCGCCGCCCGTTTTGCTGCTTGAGTTTGAGCTATGCAGAGAAATAGAATGCCTGCGGTGTTATTGCGCGGTGCTTTCTTTTCAGTTGGTAAGCAAAGCTGGAATTAGGCCGGCATCTGCAGAGCCAGGACCATGACCGTGATGGGGCAAATCGGCTCTCCAAATGAGTTTTTCCAACTAGGTTGGTGGGACGCTTGGTCATGGTGGTTCAGGTGATACGCTTTCGTCATCTCAAAAAAAATCGCCTTGTTCGGGCGCGCAAACCACTAGGATGCAACCTGTCGCCCTTGTTTTCCACATCCTGCAATGACAAATTGGCCACTGATGAGCCGGCTTTTTGGGACGCAGGCTCCTTTCCCTGTTTGAAGGGGAAAAAAGGAAGGCCCCCAGGTGGTTTTCCCAAAAGACCACCCCAAGAAAGAGCCGGCTAGTGCTCCTTCCACGAGCTCGTCCTCAAGCCACTCCGCCTTCTCCAAGACCCACCGAAAAAAGCGCAGAAATGCTCGTCGTGACAGACAAGAGCTGATATGCAAGAATGCTGAGGGTGTGAATAAGGCAGAAGGCACTGCAACGCTGCGGAGGAACGACCTGAAGGGAGCCTAAACAAAAAGCAAATTTTGACGTGCTTGATGCAAGGCACCCTCGGGCACACCTTTGCGCTCACCAAAGATACCGTCAACAATTTGCAAATCAAATGTGAAACTTGTGGTTTATATACCTCAGAGGACCAGGCCAGCCGTGCCAGGAAAGCACGCTCGTTCGGTCACCAAAAATGGAGGCGCTGTTCGAGCTAGAGATGTGCACGTGGTACTGCAGTTTTGTTACGTGTCTTGCCCACATCTGCGGGCAAGCCTGGATCAGGCTTGCGGAGGCCGTGCCTCTCTCTCTCGCACGGTTGAAGCTTCTCTTGAGGCCTTTTTCAAATAATTCTAGTCCATCCGCGCATCTTTGAAATCCTTCCGTGCGATCTTCGAAATCCATTCCGTGTATCTTGAGACATTCGTTGTCCAAACCGACGGACCTTCCCCGTCCGCCCTCTGGATCTTCGTAACTTTTTCGGTGTATCTTCAGATCTTCGTAATCGTATTCCTACCTTCGTATTCCTACCCTCTGCAGATCTTAGACCTTCGTATTCCTGCCCCGCGCATCTTCGTATTCCTACCCTGCAGATCTTAGACCTTCGTATTCCTACCCCACGCATCTTCGTATTCCTACCCTGCAGATCTTCGGCCTTCGTATTCCTACCCCACGCATCTTCGTATTCCTACCCTACAGATCTTAGACCTTCGTATTCCTACCCCACGCATCTTCGTATTCCTACCCTGCAGATCTTAGACCTTCGTATTCCTACCCCACGCATCTTCGTATTCCTACCCCACGCATCTTCGTATTCCTACCCTGCAGATCTTAGACCTTCGTATTCCTGCTCCACGCATCTTCGTATTCCTACCCACGGATCTTCCGTAGTCCTACCCTCTGCAGATCTTAGACTTTCGTATTCCTGCCCCACGGACCTTCGTATTCCTACCCCGCGGATCTTCGTAATCCAACCCGCGGATCTTCGTGATCCAGTGTCGGGGTGCGGAGTTCGTAGTGCAACCCTCTGCGAGGCGTTGCTGCACGAAGAGATGGCCGCTTTGCAGCAGCGTCGGGCCACACTCAAGCGGGAGGCGGCTCAAGCTGCAAAAGACCAGAAAGCCATGGCCAAGAAGAGAAAGCGCCTCATGCAGGCCAGACTGCGTTGGAGTGCTGACACTCACTCCTGTCATTGTGTGCACGAGGCTGCCCGGAACTTGAGCCCAGAGGATCTACGGCTCCTGCTCCGCTCTGCGGACGAAGGTCCGTGTGTGGAAGCGAGCAGCAAGCAGTGTTGAACACACAGACTTGATCTTTGAACAGGCGAGGATGGTGGCGAAGCTGCTGCTCCTGAAGGCCGTGTGTGGAAGTGAGCAAAGGCCGTGTGTGGAAGTGAGTAGCTTGCTGTTTGAACAGGCGAGGACGGCGGCGAAGGTTCTGCTCCGGAAGGCCGTGTGTGGAAGTGAGCAGCAACCAGAGTGTGTGTGTGTGTGTGTGTCTCTTGATCGACGCAGAGCTTGTTGCTTGAACAGGCGAGGACGGCGGCGAAGGTGCTGCTCCGTGTCTCTTGCTGTTATGCTGCTTGTGAGGACATACGAGGCAACGTCAGAAACTTTCAAAGACGTTCGCAGTTTCACTGCATGCTCTCCCAATGCAGAACGTGTTTTGGAGGATAGTGTGAGTGTCTAACATGTCTTTTCGGGTTTGGGAGGTCCACCTCCGGCCGGCGACGATGCTGGAGAGGCCGCAGGCGCGTTGTCTTCAAAGCAACGACTGGCTGCGCCAATGCTTTGTCATTTAAGTGTGCACGCAAGTCGGGTGAGTGCCATGTGTCCTTTTTCTCTTTTCTAACCTACTCCAACTTTGCATGTGATTTTTGGAAATCATTCGAGGCCCGGCAGCAGACAATATGGGTGATGTCGGAGAGGTGGCAGGTGCACGTGTTAACAGCCTTGACTCTTGCTCGAAGTTTGACACGAGGTGCTGCGCATGCTTGCCGGAAAGCTTCCCAATATTATGCAGCTTGTTGTGGCTGCAGGCGAAGCGCGTGACATTGAAGAGGCCGCAGGCGCGTTAATTTGCAAGTTCAAGTGCTGCCACATGGTCTTGGGAGTGTTTCCCGGCGTTAAAAGCGCTTGTTGGAAAGCCTCCCCAGCCGAAGGCCCAGCTGGCAGTGGTGTGGGTGACCCTTGAAGAGATCGCAGGCGCGTTCGGCGCGTCTACAAAATGTTGCGTCGGACACTTGCCCCTTCAGACGAGTGCTGGGTATGACTCTTTGATGGGGCGAAGGTGAGTGACGTCCTCGCAGTCGTGACCACACAGAACCATGTGAGCTCTGGTTTCTTTTGGGTAAACTTCACAGAAGGGAAGCCCAGCAAGACACGGCGCAAAACTAAGTTTTCACATTTTCTCCACACACGGTAGTTAAGTCCCCTGTTAGAAGCTTCTTCAGAGTCTGGGCATGCCTTTGCAGAAGGGCAACCCGTGCAGACACGACCCGAAACCCGTTCCTCACCTGCTGGCTAGAAGTGGAGCTTCTGGCCCTTGTAACGCTGAACGCTTGCCTTGTGAGTTCTGAGTTTGACTTGAAAAAAGACAGGTCGCGCAGCCATAGTGCATCATTCGTACAGAAAAACCCTCCACCCCGTAGAGTCTTAGCGCAGGTCTCACAAGAGAGGGATTTGGTGCCTGGGATGGTGCTGCAGCAGTGGCGGAGTCGTGGCTTTTCCCGTTTTAAAAACCATTGTATATTTAAAACGGGCGCGCTCCGACTCCGCCTCCGTTCTAAGGGGAATTCCTTTTTTTGAAGACTCCGCCGACTCCGCCAACAGGAACTCCGCCGACTCCGCCGATGCATGTGACCCGGACATCTGTTCTAGTACACGTGTGAAGAGTTGTTCTGCTTGCAAGTGAGCAAGCCGAGTGAAGCGCCGCGCGTGCTCAAACCGTAGGTGCAAAAAGTGTGTCACGCTGGTTGTTTGTTGCCTTGTAGAGCAGCAATGGTGTCCGGACCAGTGCAGATCGCAAAGCGGGCTTTCGTCTCCTTACTCTTGGCTTTGGCGCAACAGTATGGCCTGGATGTCAAGATCAACCGCGATAGTGAGGAGAAGAGTCTAGAGGCAGCTTACCGAAAGGTTGTGCGGCGAGTGCATCCTGACAAGGGCGGAAATGTTGCAGATGCTCAGCGTCTCCAAGCCGCCAGAGAAGCGTGGCACAGCTCCAAGAGTCACGGAAGACTGCCTGTCCGCAAGGAAAAGACCATGAAGGGGCGTGAGCTGCCGCTGCTGCCTGCGCAGAATAGGAAAGCTTTCATGATTCGGTCGTCGTCTTGTTTGTTAACGTACCATGTGAGTGCAACAACATTGTGGCGTGAGTTCACAAAGTTTGTGCAGCAAAACATGGTGAGCTGGGGCGTCCAGCGCTGGTGTGCTTCTATGGAGCTTTGCGAGTCCGGAAAACCTCACGTTCACTTGATGGTGCAATTTCACACGGCGCTGGAAACCCGTGATGTTCATGACTTCTGCTTTGGCCAATCCAGGCCAAACGCCTCAGCAACAGACTTATGCGGTGAGGGGCTCTGCAGGAAGAGAGTGCAGCAATCTATCGATCGTGGGTTCTTCTACGTGTTTGCGGACAAGATTGGAACAGTTCGTGGGCCAGATGGCCTGGTTTGCACTGAAGGCAATTACCTTCCATGCTGGACCAGCTCTCTACTGAAGTACCAAGTGCTTGGCAAATGGCCGGAGACACTTTGGAAGCAGCGCAAGATCACGAGTGACGTTTACGAAGAGCTGCTATTTCTCACTCGTGATGGGGTCATTTCCAGACAAAGGAATTTGTGGGCATGCCAAGACCGTGTGGAAGAAGAACTTGCCCGGCAGGCCGTGGAAAACAGGGTACAGCGCATCCGTGGAAACCCTGAGCCTGAGATCTACAGACCATTCCCAGTTGTGCCCGGTGTTCAGGAGTGGTTGCAACTTTTTGCCAAAGACGCGCTGAGGTATCCCATCTTGATTGTTCTGGGTGCTTCACGTGCAGGCAAGACGGAGTACGCCAAGAGCCTCTTCCGACGGCCCCTCGAGCTGAAAATCGGGTGTCTGGAGTTCTTCCCTGACACGATGCGCCAGTTCAAGAGAGGCGGGGGTTTCCAAGTTTGTGGAAGTTGCTTGTTTCGTGTCGGCGTCGTAACATGCCTCACTTTGCCTCGCCCTTGACAGGCTACCATGATGCCATTGTTCTTGATGACATCCGCAACTTACAGTTCTTGGTGGATCACCAGGAAAAGGTCCAAGGCAAATACGACTGCCTGGTCGAGTTTGGCTCAACCGCTGGAGGGACTTGCGCCTTCCATGTTGACCTTTTCGGGGTGCCTGTTGTGGCCACCGTTAACTATTCGACCCAGAACCTAGGGTTTCTTGACAACCATGATTGGTTGGCAAACCCTGGGAATCGAGTCGTTGTGCAGCTGTGACCTCTCCTTCTGGAGCTATCTAGCTGAGCTTAATGGCTTCATGCTCATAATTCGCAGAGTGACCGACCTGGTGTCTGTTGTGGAAAGACAAGACAGACGTTTTTGCTTTGCTGGTAGCAAGCCATGCGGCGAAGTTGCTCTTGTATCCTGCTGCTTCAGAACAAGCTTTTGCAAGCCTCTTCTTTTGCTCAAGTCATAGCTTCGTGGGTTGTCACGCTCTGAAGGCCAGGGCCACAGCGTCAGATTCAAATTCTACAGGAGTGTTCAGTCTTCGGCAGTTCGGAGTCTGGTGGCAAGGTCAACTCCTAAAAGGCGAGCTCAGCAGGCACGGCGGCCAAGTTTTCCCAGCAGTGTGTGTGTGTGTGTGTGTGTGTGTGTGTGTGTGTGTGCGTTGTGTCTGAAGTGCGTGTTCAGCTAGCTCCGAAATAAGGGTTCGGAACCACAGCCGGTTTTGGCACGGGCTGTGTGGCCCCCCTCGGTGTGAGCTACGTCCGTCTTAGACATCACGTCTAGACATGTGTTCTCTCGGTGCATATGGATATTTTATGTTCTCTGTGTGTCGGTCCTGCTTCTGTTCTTATGCACAGGGTTGGCTCCAGTGCAGCTGGCTCAGATCTGGAAAGTCAGTTCAGGCAGCGTGCGTCGGTTTTCCTGTCTTGCTGGTCCGGTTGCTCGGTTGCTTGTTTGGTGGGTTGGTCTCGGGTTTCGTTGGCTGCTAGTTGGTGGCTGGTTAAAATCCCGGGTCCCGCATACAAAGATTTTGTGTTCACGCCGTCTCTCGTTCTGCAGCCCCTGCCGCTGTTCACGCGGCGTCATGCCGCAACGGTCCCTGATGCCGGACAGTGCTCTTGAGGAGCTGGCAGAAATCAGACGGCGTCTTCGCAACCTGCGAAGGCGAAAGGCAAGTATACCGCAGCTGGAGGATGTCCCAACCGAGCGCCGTCGATGCTTGCCTTCGCATCCGAGCTGCCTGATGGTCTATGTCTTCAGTGGCTACTCGGTAGAAGTTCCCATGGATTATGTTCGTGGCCGTGGGCTGTGGCGAGAAGTACGTGCCGTGAAATTTAATGCAGAGGATGGACCCTGCTCTCTGGAGTTGGAGATCGAGCAAGCTTATGCCCACGCTCCTGTGGATTTTCTTGTGCGGTTGTTGACCGAGCCGCTTGAGCACTTCACGTTGATGTCGCTCGTCCAGGCAGCGCGGTATGTGGTAGAGCACAAATTGTTTGCTTGGGTTTGCGAGCAAAACGGTTTGTACGGCGTGGCTCCATCGCGTGCGCAGCTGGTGGAGAAGGCTGTGGCCAGTATCCCAGATCTAGCTCCTATAGAGGCGCAGGAGCGTCTGTCTTCCTGGCTCAATGCTCCTGTAAGATCGCAGCGACGGTGGTTGGCAAAGTTCCGGAGGCGCTGGGGTGCCCGTATCGGCCGCTTACGTCCTGGACATGTGCTTCCCCCAGAAGAGAGGCAGCGCAAGGTGGGAAGGGTGGATGAGGGTGGAAAGGGAAAGACGGAGCGGAGAGCAGAGAGAGGCCAGAACCAGGGCTCCGTGTTTGGGGACCCAAAAAGGCCCCGTTTTCGGGTCGGATGATGCGTTTGTGGGGCCCATTTTAGGAAGCTGCCTACTGTTGCTTGAAAAAGCCCTTGGCAGGTTCTGAGGTCCGTTTCAGGGGTCGATTTTGGGACCCGTTTTTGGGGTCGCTCTGGGGCTTCTTTTGATGGCAGCTGCCTGAGGCTCTGGCGTATTTTCGATGGCTGAATGCACCGGTTGACCGGCCTCCCCTCGTCATCAACATGGACGAGACAGCCCTGGTTCGGCATGTGACTGGCCTGGCTGGTACTGTCGAATTCTCAGTCCCAGCCACGCGATGTGTCTTCATTGGGAGACAAACGTTCTTACATTTCCTACATGGCCAGCGTCACGCATGACGAGGGTGCGCAACAGGTCATTCCGCAGATTCTGATTGGCAACGAGCACCTTTCAGTGTGCAGTTGTTGCGAGATCTAGCTGGAGCGCTGCCAGCCAATGTTCATGTTTGGCGACGGAAATCAGCTTGGACCAATCATGAAGCTGTGCGAAAGTATATATCCTTGCTGGCTAAGAGTTTGGGGGAATTGGTCCACACGCGTTACGTTGTGCTTCTGATGGACGTGGCCCGCTCACACATTGACGTATCCATTTTCCTCCACGCCAGGCGCTGCGGTATCCGGCTGTGCTACGTACCGGCCAACATGACTGCTGACTTGCAACCATGCGACACTCATGTGTTTGCTCAGTTTAAGGCCAGGCTTAGGGAGATGTGGCGCAGGGAGAAGTCTATGTCTTTCAGGGGCGTCATTTCGACGCAGCGTTGGGTGGGCTTGATTTCGCGGGCAGTCTCTGAAGTCTTGTTGAAGAAGTCCTGGCAGGCTGCTTTTGAGGCGAATGGAGTCTTGAGTGGTCAGCTATGCCTTTCGCAGCGGCTCCGCCAAAAACTAGGGTGGACGGAGGTGCCAGAAGACCTTGCTGGACCGCCTACAGAAGCAGAAGCAGCAGAGATCTTCCCCAAGAGAATGCGATTAGACGTGCTGTCTTATGTGCTTTGGGAGCCCAAAAGCCACCGTGAAAAGCGTGCCCGTGCAGGGGCCTGTGTGAGAAGTGTAGCATCAGGCTCAGGGCTCGTTGCTCGAGGCCGTCGGATCTTACCTGAGACCTTTCTGTCTGCGCGCAAGGTCCGTACAGTGCGCACGCTTGACTGATGTTCAATCTGGAACCGAGGGGGGCCACACAGCCCGTGCCAAAACCGGCTGTGGTTCCGAACCCTTATTTCGGAGCTAGCTGAACACGCACTTCAGACACAACGCACACACACACACACACACACACACACTGCTGGGAAAACTTGGCCGCCGTGCCTGCTGAGCTCGCCTTTTAGGAGCCATTGACCTTGCCACCAGACTCCGAACTGCCGAAGACTGAACACTCCTGTAGAATTTGAATCTGACGCTGTGGCCCTGGCCTTCAGAGCGTGACAACCCACGAAGCTATGACTTGAGCAAAAGAAGAGGCTTGCAAAAGCTTGTTCTGAAGCAGCAGGATACAAGAGCAACTTCGCCGCATGGCTTGCTACCAGCAAAGCAAAAACGTCTGTCTTGTCTTTCCACAACAGACACCAGGTCGGTCACTCTGCGAATTATGAGCATGAAGCCATTAAGCTCAGCTAGATAGCTCCAGAAGGAGAGGTCACAGCTGCACAACGACTCGATTCCCAGGGTTTGCCAACCAATCATGGTTGTCAAGAAACCCTAGGTTCTGGGTCGAATAGTTAACGGTGGCCACAACAGGCACCCCGAAAAGGTCAACATGGAAGGCGCAAGTCCCTCCAGCGGTTGAGCCAAACTCGACCAGGCAGTCGTATTTGCCTTGGACCTTTTCCTGGTGATCCACCAAGAACTGTAAGTTGCGGATGTCATCAAGAACAATGGCATCATGGTAGCCTGTCAAGGGCGAGGCAAAGTGAGGCATGTTACGACGCCGACACGAAACAAGCAACTTCCACAAACTTGGAAACCCCCGCCTCTCTTGAACTGGCGCATCGTGTCAGGGAAGAACTCCAGACACCCGATTTTCAGCTCGAGGGGCCGTCGGAAGAGGCTCTTGGCGTACTCCGTCTTGCCTGCACGTGAAGCACCCAGAACAATCAAGATGGGATACCTCAGCGCGTCTTTGGCAAAAAGTTGCAACCACTCCTGAACACCGGGCACAACTGGGAATGGTCTGTAGATCTCAGGGTTTCCACGGATGCGCTGTACCCTGTTTTCCACGGCCTGCCGGGCAAGTTCTTCTTCCACACGGTCTTGGCATGCCCGCAAATTCCTTTGTCTGGAAATGACCCCATCACGAGTGAGAAATAGCAGCTCTTCGTAAACGTCACTCGTGATCTTGCGCTGCTTCCAAAGTGTCTCCGGCCATTTGCCAAGCACTTGGTACTTCAGTAGAGAGCTGGTCCAGCATGGAAGGTAATTGCCTTCAGTGCAAACCAGGCCATCTGGCCCACGAACTGTTCCAATCTTGTCCGCAAACACGTAGAAGAACCCACGATCGATAGATTGCTGCACTCTCTTCCTGCAGAGCCCCTCACCGCATAAGTCTGTTGCTGAGGCGTTTGGCCTGGATTGGCCAAAGCAGAAGTCATGAACATCACGGGTTTCCAGCGCCGTGTGAAATTGCACCATCAAGTGAACGTGAGGTTTTCCGGACTCGCAAAGCTCCATAGAAACACACCAGCGCTGGACGCCCCAGCTCACCATGTTTTGCTGCACAAACTTTGTGAACTCACGCCACAATGTTGTTGCACTCACATGGTACGTTAACAAACAAGACGACGACCGAATCATGAAAGCTTTCCTATTCTGCGCAGGCAGCAGCGGCAGCTCACGCCCCTTCATGGTCTTTTCCTTGCGGACAGGCAGTCTTCCGTGACTCTTGGAGCTGTGCCACGCTTCTCTGGCGGCTTGGAGACGCTGAGCATCTGCAACATTTCCGCCCTTGTCAGGATGCACTCGCCGCACAACCTTTCGGTAAGCTGCCTCTAGACTCTTCTCCTCACTATCGCGGTTGATCTTGACATCCAGGCCATACTGTTGCGCCAAAGCCAAGAGTAAGGAGACGAAAGCCCGCTTTGCGATCTGCACTGGTCCGGACACCATTGCTGCTCTACAAGGCAACAAACAACCAGCGTGACACACTTTTTGCACCTACGGTTTGAGCACGCGCGGCGCTTCACTCGGCTTGCTCACTTGCAAGCAGAACAACTCTTCACACGTGTACTAGAACAGATGTCCGGGTCACATGCATCGGCGGAGTCGGCGGAGTTCCTGTTGGCGGAGTCGGCGGAGTCTTCAAAAAAAGGAATTCCCCTTAGAACGGAGGCGGAGTCGGAGCGCGCCCGTTTTAAATATACAATGGTTTTTAAAACGGGAAAAGCCACGACTCCGCCACTGCTGCAGCACCATCCCAGGCACCAAATCCCTCTCTTGTGAGACCTGCGCTAAGACTCTACGGGGTGGAGGGTTTTTCTGTACGAATGATGCACTATGGCTGCGCGACCTGTCTTTTTTCAAGTCAAACTCAGAACTCACAAGGCAAGCGTTCAGCGTTACAAGGGCCAGAAGCTCCACTTCTAGCCAGCAGGTGAGGAACGGGTTTCGGGTCGTGTCTGCACGGGTTGCCCTTCTGCAAAGGCATGCCCAGACTCTGAAGAAGCTTCTAACAGGGGACTTAACTACCGTGTGTGGAGAAAATGTGAAAACTTAGTTTTGCGCCGTGTCTTGCTGGGCTTCCCTTCTGTGAAGTTTACCCAAAAGAAACCAGAGCTCACATGGTTCTGTGTGGTCACGACTGCGAGGACGTCACTCACCTTCGCCCCATCAAAGAGTCATACCCAGCACTCGTCTGAAGGGGCAAGTGTCCGACGCAACATTTTGTAGACGCGCCGAACGCGCCTGCGATCTCTTCAAGGGTCACCCACACCACTGCCAGCTGGGCCTTCGGCTGGGGAGGCTTTCCAACAAGCGCTTTTAACGCCGGGAAACACTCCCAAGACCATGTGGCAGCACTTGAACTTGCAAATTAACGCGCCTGCGGCCTCTTCAATGTCACGCGCTTCGCCTGCAGCCACAGCAAGCTGCATAATATTGGGAAGCTTTCCGGCAAGCACGCGCAGCACCTCGTGTCAAACTTCGAGCAAGAGTCAAGGCTGTTAACACGTGCACCTGCCACCTCTCCGACATCACCCATATTGTCTGCTGCCGGGCCTCGAATGATTTCCAAAAATCACATGCAAAGTTGGAGTAGGTTAGAAAAGAGAAAAAGGACACATGGCACTCACCCGACTTGCGTGCACACTTAAATGACAAAGCATTGGCGCAGCCAGTCGTTGCTTTGAAGACAACGCGCCTGCGGCCTCTCCAGCATCGTCGCCGGCCGGAGGTGGACCTCCCAAACCCGAAAAGACATGTTAGACACTCACACTATCCTCCAAAACACGTTCTGCATTGGGAGAGCATGCAGTGAAACTGCGAACGTCTTTGAAAGTTTCTGACGTTGCCTCGTATGTCCTCACAAGCAGCATAACAGCAAGAGACACGGAGCAGCACCTTCGCCGCCGTCCTCGCCTGTTCAAGCAACAAGCTCTGCGTCGATCAAGAGACACACACACACACTCTGGTTGCTGCTCACTTCCACAAACGGCCTTCCGGAGCAGAACCTTCGCCGCCGTCCTCGCCTGTTCAAACAGCAAGCTACTCACTTCCACACACGGCCTTTGCTCACTTCCACACACGGCCTTCAGGAGCAGCAGCTTCGCCACCATCGCCTGTTCAAAGATCAAGTCTGTGTGTTCAACTGCTCGCTTCCACACACGGACCTTCGTCCGCAGAGCGGAGCAGGAGCCGTAGATCCTCTGGGCTCAAGTTCCGGGCAGCCTCGTCACACAATGACAGGAGTGAGTGTCAGCACTCCAACGCAGTCTGGCCTGTAAGGCGCTTTCTCTTCTTGGCCATGGCTTTCTGGTCTTTTGCAGCTTAAGCCGCCTCCCGCTTGAGTGCTGCAAAGCGGCCATCTCTTCGTGCAGCAACGCCTCGCAGAGGGTTGCACTACGAACTGGATCACGAAGATCCGCGGGTTGGATTACGAAGATCCGCGGGGTAGGAATACGAAGGTCCAGGAATACGAAAGTCTAAGATCTGCAGAGGGTAGGACTACGGAAGATCCGTGGGCAGGAATACGAAGATGCGTGGACAGAAATACAAAGGTCGAAGATCTGCAGGGTAGAAATACGAAGATGCGTGGGAATGCAAGCCTGATTCAGGCTTGCCCGCAGATGTGGGCAAGACACGTAACAAAACTGCAGCACCACGCACGTGCACATCTCTAGCTCGAACAGCGCCTCCATTTTTGGTAACCCGAACGAGCGTGCTTTCCTGGCACGGCTGGCCTGGTCCTCTGAGGTAGCAAGATACCTTCAACGGGAAAACCCAAAACCATTGCAAGGGTCATCCAGACAGCGTTCTCTTTCCGGCGTGGACTGGCACGAACCGCACGTGATGGTGAATGAGGGCCACCGTTGGGTCTGCACCAAATGCAATGGTGTTCAAGCGGTTTAACACATGCCAGCTTGAAAGAGCCTGTTAAACTTCCCAATAAGCAAACGGCCTTCTAAGAAAGATAGGAACCATTCAGCAGCTGGAGTTGTGGCTTCAAGCAAGAGGCAAGGCATTTGCCTTCCCGCTCTGCCCGGCCGGCATGCCTGTATTTCGATTGCGAGCTCCTCTACGCTGGCTTTTTTTCGGTGGAGGTGTGAGCAACTGCTCCCAAGGTGATGCAGAGTGTATAAGAGGTACTCTTTGCACCTTTGGCCTTAAGTTGTCTGACTTCCTGAGCTCACCACTGTGCAACTCACCTCCAGCAGTTGCAAGGTTTTTTTCTCGGGTTCTCGTAGGGCAGCTCAGACGTTGTGTCGTCGGCTAGCAGCTCCGTTCCGAAGATCGCCGAAGCCGACGGAGGCCACGGCCCTGGAGAACGAAACGGCATAAGCACCAGGTGCGGAGAAGAAGAGCTCCAAAAAACAGAAGTGAACCTGTCGAGAATCAAATTTATCAGGAAAGGACTGCTGTTGTTTTGGATTTTCAGTGAGCGGAAGCTGCGAGTGCAGGGTATTCGGATGACCGCTTTCCAACTTCCTGAGGGGGTGGCTACCTCGGATCTACAGAGTTGACCTGAGCCAGCACTGCGCAGCACCCATGAATAAGTCCCGCCAACACATTTCCTAGAATGCAAAACCGCGAAAGCAGTGTGGAACTGGAGAACGAGACTCTCATGCTTCCAAGGCCAAGCCTTAATGAAGGGCCGGGGTTCCTACTGCATTTTCAGAAGTATGTTTGCACTGTCGACGCAGGACTCGCAACTGCCCCTTGGGATTGACTGCTTCTCCAGGCTCAGTTTCATGCATTGGCTCACGCTTTTCGATTGGAGCGGTTCGATGCGTTGGCGTTGAAACTCGTGGCACAGCTACGGGGCCTAAGGGACCTCAGGTCAAGACTACACTCAACCCTCACAGCACGAAGTGCGGACTCTTTTCACTGCGCTGTTCACAGCTTCTCGAGCTCCGCTCGTCTTGAGCCAATGCGAGCACGGCTCTCCAGCTTCAAACACTGTCTGCCAGACATGGGAAAACAAAGGTACTTCAGGTGAAAACACTCAGCCATGGAACTTCTACTCCTAAACACTGTGGGTAGGTTCCTAGCACCTCTTAGGTGCTCTGCTGAGCTCTGTGCAGACCTAAACTGGCTTGAGTCACTTCTGGTCACCAAATACCAGGTCACAAACAGGAAACGAGTTCCGACAAACGAGTTTCGAGAAAACGAACAGAAAACGGTTCTTCCCACTCAAAACAAGGTCTCACCAAGCCAAAAGAAATCTGCACTGCCTGACATGTCCTCGTGCCTATGCTTCACACTCATAGCAGACAACTCAAGTGCACATCACGTGTCAACTGGGAAACTAGGAGGGTCACATGTATCACTCGAAAGCGGGCTGAGTCGCTAGCCAATTAGGCTCTTCGGGACCAAAGTCCCGGAAGTTAAGGTGAAACAGTGAGAACAACTACTCTCGGGAATGCCTTGGCCTGCTAAACACGGCCGTGCTTGTGAAGGCATCCGAGATGTTACGGAAAGAGCTACGGGCTGGGAGAACCTCACCATCCCTCAGAGTCTTTACAGACTTGACAAGATTCTCGCCGCAGCACAGGGAGAAACTCACCTTCTGGCTCATCGCAGATCACTGAAACAGGGCCCTCCCGAGTCGATAATGCCCTGTTCGCTGAGATGGCTCCAGAAGGGCTGACACTCCATTAACAGTGTTTCCGCGCACCACCTTGGGTACACGCCAACGTGTCTGAGCTTGTCGCGCAGCCAGCCTTGGCGTGAAGGGCTGAAATCCGCCACAAGCGACCAAAAGCCTGTCCAGCTGTGTTTGGCTTCCTTTCCCTCCCATGTCCATTCATTCGTGTCGAAGAAAATGAGCCTCGGATGGGGGGAATTCGCCGTGGTACGACTCACAGCTACATTTAGTGGTCCCAAATCGCGGAGGGTCCACCCTGCAGCTCGAAAATAAGCCAAAATGATGGCCATGTAGCACAAGAACTGGAAGCAACTCTGGCTTCCAGCGCCGAAACGGGTGAGAACCTCAACCCCTGGAACACACCGCTCCTGCAGCGACATGTAAAATGGAAACACCTGCTCTCCGCCCTTCCACAGCAGGCGGATTCGCACAAGCCCATACCAATAGACCTTCGCCGTTAGCCGGGGAAAGATATTACTGATGCGCTCCTCTTCGGCTTGGCTTTCATCCGAAAATTTCCACACCAGGGGAGCCGATTCGGCTACATAGGCTACTCGCGTACGGCCGAACATGAGCATAGTCAGATCCATGGTGTCCCGGACATGGAGGCTGTGGGTGATGTCATGGATCATGACTAGGTTGACAGGAAGATAGTGCAGAGGTTCCTTTGGCTTGCCGCGGTGTGCCTTCCACTGGCCTTGAAAGTGGAACGCGACTTCCTGTGGGTCTGCCCTCCGACGCTCGTCTACTGCCACTGCGTCGTTTCTTCCGGAACTGGCCGCTCTATCTGTCTGAGGGTTTGCTTCACGGAGGACTATTGATCCTTCATTGGATGCTTTGTTGTCCAGGGGCCACCCTGAGCTCTCGGGAGAGCTTGCGGGGTCATGAAGAGAGGCGAGATCCTCCACCTCCGCGTGGGCATCAGGGCGCCCAGGGTTCGATGAGGAGGAGTTTGGCAGAGGAGCCGCGTTTCGGGAGAGAACCTCTTCCCTTCTGTGCCCGCTTGAGTCTGAGGAGCTTCTTAACTTGACCCTTCGTTCCCAGGGGGAAAGCTGATCGTAGCGCCACTCCTGAGTTGCGTCCGAAGGAGCTTCGGCCACGTCTTCCGCCTGGGCTCGCCTGCTTGGCGGAGGAGCAGGTGGGGTAGGGCGTGGTGTTGAGTTCGCCCGGAAACGCGCATCGCTTTCCGCTAAGGAAAGATGCCTAGCATGGCTCCTTGCTTTACTCCTGGAAATCGAACCAGGGCTTTTTGTAGGGAGATCTCGCGCGCTTCTTTCCATGTTCACCTCCCTTGCTGCATCCAGCTCTTCTTGTGGCAATCTTGATTGCTTGCCTTTGAGGCCTTTGGATTTGCCGTGTCCTTTATTCCATCCTTTTCCCATAGCTCACTTCCTAAAAGAGAGAGCGGTTTGTGTCAGGCCATCCTTTTTTGCTTTGGCTTTAATTTTGGCTTTAGACTTGGGAAAAGCGGGTGTGGTCTGGGGAGGCAAAGGAGGAATCTGAGGGAGAGACTCTCCTGTGCTGCTACTTGCCACTGCTTCACATGCACTGGTGTTTGAAGGCACAACGGCTGCGGGATGGGGCGAGCAACTCTGCCTCAAGCCGAAGAAGGCTTTCACGCCAGCCTTGGGGTCTAGGCTTCTTTTTTGGGCTTCTTGGAATTTGCTGTTAGGCTTCTTGCAGACCTGACTGCACCTGCCTTGACATCCCGGCTTGGCCTTTAGGATTCTGACAGCTTGGAAAACTCCACACTTTTTGCATACCACTGACTCTCCAAGGTTGATCATGTGGTGAGACACGTGAAAGCCCCACGGAGTCGAGGTGGGCACAGGCAGACTCTGGCACGGGAACTGAAGAACATGGACAACCACCTCATGCGGATCGACTTGTTGCACGTAAAGCCCGCACCCTTCGCACTTGATGCACAGGTTGTTGGTGCTTTCTCCGCTAGAGATTTTCCAATTGTGCATGGTCTGAGGATTGGCCTCCTTGACTGCATGCAAAAGAAGCTGTTTTTTGTTGGGTCCTTTTTTGGAGGGAAGCGCGGCCTTGGCCTTAGCCTTCCTCTCAAATTTGACCTCATTTGCTGAGGGCAGCGGGCAGTTTGCGAGGAGGAACTCAGCTCGCTTTCCTAAGAAAGTGGAGATCTCTCGTGCAGTGCTGTCAATTTGCCTGACATTTGCCACATGCACTTGTGACAAAATCTCATTGGCCTTTTGACCGCACAGCCAGTCTGCATGTCTGTTGGCTTCCCAGGCCCATGAGGAGCCGGTGCCATGCCTGGCTGCGTGCTCCTCTTTGGTTAAGTGCCCTTTTGTCCAGACCGGTTTCAATCTATTTCGGTCTTCCTGACCTGCGGTCCAAATACTTGGCCAAAGGAAATGGGCGTTGGGGTTTTTAAGTCTAGTGAGCGCAATTTTGCTATCGCAGGCAACAAAATTGTTTTGGTTGGACAAGCCCAAAAGGAAATCA